GTGATCAATTTATTACAGTTGACGAACAAAATATAAAGGTAAGACGCGCAAATGGTGCAATAGTCTCGATCACAACATTGCTGAAAACTTCAGCCTAAACATCTCGACCAATTCACACGGCAAACAATCTCGACCAACAACAATTATGGTTTAACATATGACTATGGCAGCGTGATGCACTACGTAGCCGCTAGGTCGAATTCTCATGAAGCGACAACTGTGAGGTATAGGAGATGAATTCAAATTTTCAGCGCTACCGTAAACAAAAAACCTACCATGGTGCCGAAGGATGTGATGTACACGGAGACTCTAGGATCCCCATTCATATCTTACTACGACCTGCTTATGATTAACACGCACTACAATTGCACAGGTAAGTAGAACCCTCGAATAATTTTTGCTGCCTCACGCTTACGTGCTAAATGTTATACTGCTCCAGACGCATGCAAAGGTAAGAACACACCATGCCAAAATATGGATTCGCTCATCCTCGTGATTGCTCCAAATGCATTTGCCCTAGTGGATACGGTGGACAGTTCTGTGAGAAAAGGGTAACTGCCCTTCTTACTGGTCGAAATTACAAAATTTCCCGAAAGATTTTTTCTAGCCACCCGGTTGCGGTGCAGAACTAGAAGCGACGAGGGATTGGAAACCGTTTGTGGACGTTCTAGGAGACAAGGAGTCTGGCGTCACACCGCGAGAAGATTTTATGAAATGCAACTACTGGATTAAGGTTTGCAGGTCTCAAAAAAACTCACAAGTTATCACTCTCACAATCGAAAATCAAGGCGCCGGCCGGCAAAAAGATAGAAGTGAAATTCGTGGACTTCTCTGATGGAATTGCTATTGATGGGTGCACATATGCAGGTGTGGAAATTAAAACCCATCCAGACAAACGTCGAACCGGTTACAGGTATGCACACCCGATCAAGAAATCAGAATTTGTATTTATCTGAAGCTAAACTAATTACTAGAACAAAACCTAATATAATTGTTCGTTTAGGTTCTGCTCAAAAGAGGACGCTAACACTGTACTCAAATCGCTTTCGAACCTTGTTCCTGTAATAACCTACAACCGACTCTTCGCTACTTTTACCAAGTTGGAGTACCGCTACGTCTAGATGAACTCTTCAAAACTTGAATGCGGTAGATTTCTCTGGAATAAACTGCTTAATTACTCGTTCCAAAAAACCTTCGTTCTAAATTGCGTGAAAGGTGAAGTGCAAGAGTATGACGACGTCTAAGACTCGTGCTGTGCCCCTCTACCTTGCAAAGCTATAGATTGTTAGAGCGACTAATTAGCTCACAATGCCGAGTGCTGCTGGATAACGTTATCGGACCCGGTTGTGGATAGATAGGGCTCTCTCGCAATCTGTTGCACATTACAAAACATGTTCAATGCATGAAAACGAGTTAGTAGCTATATGAGAGAAAAATGAACTGGATAACGACCGGGCAGTTGAACATGGCACACCGCGGGTTCCTCATGGTAGCACACTACAGACTTAATTACTTCTTTAATGCCCATTGCCTAAATGTGTTTCCAAACACGGAGAATACATGATTACTGCAAAATCCTTCAATCGCATCAGACATAAAACTTCCCTGCAATGTTTTGCTAACCTTCGCTAAACTATTCGAGCGAATTCGGTGATATCTTGTCAACGAAGGTTGGCTATCCTTTCCATACAGAGGCTTGATGCAGCTCAACTTCTGTCCGTTTTCTGTTCACCACCGAAAATGTTCCCGATCTACCCTCGCCATCACTTGTTAGATCCAACGCCTTATTGCTGCCTGAATGCGCGTCAGCGCCTTTAATCAGCTCTTATCAATCGCTATCAGTTTCCGTCCCCCGCCCCACAGGTCCGTTCCACAGTACCCAATCAATACTTGCTATACGACGTGTGCGAATGCCCAAACCAGTCGCATCGCCTGGCTACGCTGGGCATTCCGACACCAAGAAGGAGCAGAGCCCGGCGTAGCCGGCCGATGCGACTGGTCTTACGATATTAGAGAGATATTGCTTTTGAAGCGGCAAAAACTCGCATGAAAATTTCAGCATCCCTCGACGAAATTTGAGAGACCCTATCTTTCTGCATGGAAGGCTTTCAGAGCAATTTCAATACTTCTTGGAAACGCGAAATCCAGCTCTATCTAACCCTACCTCAAACTGCTTCAAAGGTTATGAAATGGAGGAATGCAACCTTTTCATCGAGGGTGTAGATTTCGACGGTTTTTTTTTCGGGATTTCAGCAAATCTGACCCAGTGACAATCGCGCCGCAGCTGCCGTTGAATCGGCCGTTGATTGATACACTCGGCTGTTTTGATATACTCAAGCAGGAATCAAGATTGAATCGCAACCCCGTGCCTTCAGGATTTCTGTGCATTTCTGAACGAACCTGCCTTTGAGGTCACACAAAGTTAATGCCTCTTTCCTCGAGTCGATATTTCAGTAAATACACAAAAGTGTGCAGCGATGAAAGAAAGATGACAAGATGAGGCGTCTATAACATTATTTTGCAGATTTTTTTTTCGATTAATCAATTGAATTGATCAATTAATTGAATTAATTGATTAATCAATTGAATTGATATGCTCTGTTACGAGTAAGTAAGTACGACCTCCCTAAAATCGAGGTCGTGCCAGGACCTCGATTTCAGGGGGTCGTACTTCTGCGATCACGTCCTCGACACGATTCTCACTCTGGTACACTCGCATATGCACGCTATGCATCTCTGCTTTCGTTCCTTCCTTAATAATACTTAGTGACGACTAATAAGACGTTTGGGAGGTGCTAGTGCTCTCCCAAACGCGTGAGAGTCCCAGAAAAACACAAAGTAGTGCTTTTCTGTCTGGGCTCTCACGCGTTGGTTGACCACCGCCCCGTAAGCTGGCGAAGGGCTCGAAGGGAGGCGCTGCAAAATCATCAAGGCGGTAGCTAAGAGCTGATCTCAGACTGGAAAGATAATGGGAATGAGGAGAGGCGAGACAGTTAGACGAGGGATTGACAATAGTTTTCATGGAATAACTTATTGTCAGTTCAAGCATATTAGTAGTTTACACATGGTTAGACTCGCCACAGAGAGGCGAGTCTATTGCTGTAAAGATCTTTCCATTTTACCCGCTTTCAAGGAAGTTATAATGGTGCGACGGTTTGCGACGCTACAGAACCGTCGCGACGCTACAGAACCGTCGCGACGCTACAGAACCAACGCGTAGATGTTACAAAAGTTAGGAGCAGTATTGTACCTCTGGAGATTGGAAACAGTGAAGGTTAGCTGCTTTGGCTTCCTTCCTTATCGAACGGAATCAACCGTGCTGAAACCAACTACATGAAGGCTTTGGAAGTAGCGAAATCTAACCCGGGTTTGATGGTACACGGATAATGACAGTACCTTTTTGGAAGGATTTGAACATTCAAAACATATGCACATACATACAAGCTTACATTTGTATTAGTTTGAAACTGTTAAAACATTTATCGCGTTGGTGCTTTGGTTACAAAAGAAGCCACTACTGAGGAATCGATCTGGCGACATCTGAAGAGACGAGATAGCCCGTGACGTATCGGTGCGTTTCCTAGGGCATAGATTGCCCACTTCGAAAGATTGAGATTAGAAGTAAACTTCGTGAGAAATTCGTACCAAAAGCCTTGCCTGTTCAAAGAAAAGCATTACTCAAATACTCAGACATTTTAGGAGCTCAAAAAAGATTT